TGCTGTAGTAGTAGATCTACTAATAACACATGCTGTAGTAGTAGATCCACTAATAACACATGCTGTAGTAGTAGATCCACTAATAACACATGCTGTAGTAGTAGATCCACTAATAACACATGCTCTAGTAGTAGATCCACTAATAACACATGCTCTAGTAGTAGATCCACTAATAACATGTGCTCTAGTAGTAGATCCACTAATAACACATGCTCTAGTAGTAGATCCACTAATAACACATGCTCTAGTAGCAGATCCACTAATAACACGTGCTCTAGTAGTAGATCCTCAATTAGTAAATCCAACCAGATTCTCTTACAATATATGCTCTTGTACTGGGCCCTCTTGTACTGGGCATTTTAAAGACTGTAGAAGGGGGAGGTGGCAAGCGGTCATACAGTGCTTTGACCCTAAAAATCCTACTCTGTCATAATAAATGATTATGTGTATGAATGTAAGCAGCCTTGTGACATAAAATTATAAAGTTCCTGCTATCGTTAAGTTTTCTCATAACTGCGATCCGTTTCACTCAACGCTATTTTACACTGTCTGTATTTTAAGGTATTTGTTATCACGTGATGTGATAATTATTGACGAATAGTATTAATATACTGACGTATGTTCAATCCGGGGGCACGCTAGCAAGGTCGTGGAGTGGATTCGGTTACAAGTACTATCTTGGCATTAACATTAGCCTTAAGGATACTCTCGTCCTCTTTTTACTTTCTTACTCCCCTCCTTTTCGATGTTTCTGATAACTGGCCCCTGATGCGTAACGTAGAGTTACGTTCTTCTGTGACAGCTGCATGTTTCCTGCCCTCCTCTCGTCTCATCTTCTCTCCTCTCCTCTTCTCGTCTGTCCTCTCATTCTCCCTCTCCCCTCCTCTCGTCCTCCTCTCATTTCCTTCCCCTATATTTTGACGAACCGCAGCTGTCCCTGTGACTGTTTGTTGAATGCACCGTAGCCCGTAACCTAACCTGTAAATCTAACCAGTAGCCACTAACCTAACCCCAATGACCCGTCTGGTAATCTGCAACACACACTAGCGCGCACACACACGCGCGCACGCACACACACGCATGCGCGCACACTACACACGCACAGCACGCACGCAGCGCACACACACACACGCGCGCAACACACACACACGCACGCACACACACAACACGCACACGCACCACGCACGCACACACCACAACACAATACGCGCACACACGCACGCGCGCACCCACGCCGCCGCACGCACGCACACACACACACACACACACACACACACACACACACACACACACACACACACCCACAATATATATATATTACTATATATATATAAATATATATAATATATATATATTATATATATATATTATAATATAGTTGAATAATATGAATTATGTTAATTCGCTGTTTTCATAAGAGCAGGAATGATGAATAGGGTTTTTGCTATTCTGACATTTATAAGGTGAGGTTGTAGGAAACTTATACGCAAGACGACGTGTTTTGTTCATACACGCATCCGGTCATGCAACGTGTCACCCTAATCATATAAAAAACAGTGTCGTTCTCTACGAACACAGTAACAGTAAATGGCAACTAGCACCTATATACGAATAACGCTTATAAACAAAAAACACATAGTCAATAACACAGCACAAGCAAATAACGATAAAACACAAATAGCACTATAACATAGTGTTTTAATTTATTCATAATAATTTATAATTTTGTCAAATATTAGTTTTAATTATTGATTTATATATTATATAAATAACACTATAATTATATAAATAACGCGTGCTCTGACAAATGATATTACACGCAAATAACACTACGCTCAGTGCAGGGAACGCCATCGTTCTCTTCTCTCTCCTCTCTCCTCTCTCCTCTCTCTCTCTCTCTCCTCTGTCTCTGTCTCTGTCCTCTGTCTCTGTCTCTGTCTCTGTCTCTGTCCTCTGTCTTCTGTCTGCTGTCTCTGTCTCTGTCTCTGTCTCTGTCTCTGTCTCTGTCTCTGTCTCTGTCTCTGTCTCTGTCTCTGTCTCTGTCTCTGTCTCTGTCTCTCCTCTGTCCTCTCTCTGTCTCTCTCTGTCTCTCTCTCTGTCTCTCTCTCTCTGTCTCTGCTCCTCTCTCTCTCTCTGCTCTCTCTCTCTCTCTCTCTCTCATCCGCTCGCTCTCCTCTCTCTCCCCCTCCATCCAGTCTCGTGGCCGTCCCTTCCCCGTTCCGAAACGGTCATGGACGCGCGACATCGGTTCACATCTCCCGGTCTTGTCTCTCACGTCGGAATCCTCCCTCCCCGAGCTGCCCAATGCCCAGAACTCAGGGAGGGGTAGCGACGAGGCTCAGACCATCTCCGGTCATCCTCTCTCATCTCTCTCTCTCATCATCCTCCTCTCTCCTCTATCGTCTGTCTGTCCTCTATTCTCACTCCAGTCTCTCATCACATCTCCTCTCGAGATCTCTCTCTCTCTTCTCTCCTCTATCTCTCACCGGGTGGGCGTCTAGTTATCACCTCTCTCTCCTCTCGTCTCTCTCTCTCCTCTTTTCTCTCACGCCCTTTCTCGCCCGTCTCTTCCCTCCTCTTCCGTATCTCTCTCTCCCTCGACACCGACGCCCCTCTGCTGTCTACTCCTTTCTCCCCTCTCCTCTCTCTCCTCTCATTCTCCCCCTCCACTTCCTCTCTCTCGCCCGTCACCTCCATCCCTCCTCCCCCCCGCTCCTCCCCCTCCGCCCTCTCTCAAAGACGGGCGAGGGAGTCAGCGTGCTGAAATCGCTGGCCGTCCGTGAGAGCGCAGTAGCGGAGATCAAGTGAGGGAGGGGGAAGCGGGATACTCTCAGGTCGATCAGGTCTTACGGATTCTCGATGGACGCGTGGCATCGAAATCTAGTTTTCCGGCGCATTCGATCAGAAAAGCGACCGAATGGGTGAGGTTATTACTACCATGCATTATTTTATTTATTACTTATTAAATAGTCTTTATTATTTGTAATATATATATATATTTTTTTTTAATTTATATATAAAGATTAAATTACTATAAGATTCATATTAGTTTTTTGTATTGAATATTCAACTCTAACGCGATTGGATATATTAACATTGTGCATATGATGGAAGGAGCTAATAATACGTTAGAAAAGGTAGCGGAACGGGAAAAAAATCGGGAGAAATAGTGCAATTTCACGACATCGATTATTTCCTCTTTGCTTGCGAGTCTAGAATAATGATTATGGTCATTGCATTAAGCAAAATTCTTTGCCTCTAAAAACAGAGACCAACCGCTTATCAATACGATACCTCGATACCTCGACTAAGTCTCCGAATCAGTTCAGCAAGCCGTTCTCGCCGCTAAGGTTGCTGTATGAGAAGTTCACGGTTATTGCCCGCGTATAACTTTATGAATGAACGCGTTTCGGTTAGTCAATAGGTGAACTTTCGGGGAGCATCGCCTAGTGCCCTTAATCTCTCATTATGTTTCCTAGAGGGCACGCGGCTAGAGGCCCGTTATGAGTGGAGCCGGCAATAGCTATTCTACTATTAAGTCTCCTACAACGCCAGCTCAGTTAATATATGGGTGTAGGTAACGAGTACAGAATTTTGGCATTTGTGACATCAATATATCAGCCGCTTCCAAACGGTTGACAAGGAAAAAGCCAAAAGAACGCTTGACAGTCCCTGATATTACTCCTAAGGTCAAATACTGTGCTATCGCTCAGATGACGCTACGCAAGTGCCGACAGACTGTGTCTATGGTGTCCGTAGGAGGTCGTGGCCGTCCATGAGGCCGTCCATCAGGAACCGAGTCCCGGTACCGACCGCGCGGGAAGTCGAGGCCGTCCGTACTCGTGTACGGAAGATCTGAGAACCACGGCTCCGTCCGTCTAAATCAAGCTTCGGGGATTCTGACCCGCGCCCGTACAGGCGAAAGCGTCCATCAGTCGTCTGCGCCGCCGTCCGTCACTCCGTCCGTCCGTACCGTCCGTCCGCCGAGTTCCGTCGTGCCGTCCGCGACACGCCCGTCCGTCCGTGCCCGATACCAGTACCGAGTGCCACAAAGGACTGCCCGCCCCGTCCGTCGGGAGCCCACGCCCGTCCGTCACGCCCCGTCTGTCGGCCCCTGTTTGTCCGCTCACGACGTC